ATAAATGTCACAGAATCCACGCACTCTAGCCACGGGAGGAGCTCTCGTCTTAGAATCTAATTTTTCTTTGCAAATAGTTCTAACGATTTCCATTATCTAGTTTCCCAACTCACAGAATATTAGTCTTGAAAATTAGTGGGGAAAGGAAGGCTCATGGCAAATGTGAGGATGCAACACATTTTAGAAAATAATTAAAAGGATCCTTAAGAATCCTGGAACTCCCAGAGGGGTTCTGAATAACCAAGGTTTCATTGTCAAAGAAAAATCAGTGGGTTAGAAACCTAACTGACACCACCACTGGACAGGGTTTTATCTGCTGTGCCTCAGCATTCTCCGGGGCGAATGGCCATAGACCTGGGCGGTAGGACCACTGACTGACAGGAGAACCACCAAGAGCCCCAGCTGGCAGGGTGGCGGGCCAGGCTAGCTGGTTTGCACATGTTATTTAATCCTCACAACAGCTTTACAAAAGACTGGGAGTCATATAGTCCTCGTTTACTTTTTTAGATGAGAGAAATGAAGCCCAGAGAGGTTGAATCACTCGCCCAGGGTCACACAGCCAAGTCCTGGCTGGCTCCAGAGCCCTTGCTCTTCCTCACTTAATAGTACTATCTGTGATCGCAGACCACACCCAGGCTACATCACCAACGAGGTCTCATTCACAAGGGGGAGGGAGGACGTGTGAACCCACCAAACACCAAATAAGAAAACAGCACAGTGTTTTCTAAACAACTAACAGCTATCCCACTAAAGTTGAGCCTGGGGCTTCCATTGGACCAGGCCCAGGTATTTGGGGTTAGCATCAGGACTGTGATTGTGAATAAAGATAAGGAATGTGGGCTGGCCCATGCTGTCTGGGGGGACCAAGAATTTCCCCTGGGGTTGAATTAGATGAATGGTTTCCAGTTGGCTACCACGAATGGCATGTCACATGGTAGCTTTAGATTCAGAGGGACTTGGATTGATATCTCTACTCTAACCCTCACATCGGGGACCCTGGAACATTTTCCCAAACCTCTCTGGGTCTGTTTCCTCACCTTAAATGAGAAAGTGAATGCAAAATGCAACATTCCTGGTATGCAGAAGGCACTCTACACAGGTTGGTTCCTTTCTGCTTCCCTTTGAGATGAACCCAGAGAAAGTAGCCCCACCCATTGTGCAGGCTCTGAGCCTCCTGAAAGGCCATCACAAACTGGAGTTCCATTAGGGTTTGTGCCAAAGAGGCAGAAAACCATAATGCTGTCAGTCAGTCCCCTGGGAAAGTAACCTTGGTAGCCCTGAGTCTTTAGAAGCTTCACAGAGGGCCAGGAGTCATGGGGCCAGTGGGGGACCGTCGCCCAGGTCTCCCTCCTTGATCAACAGAGGAAAGGGAAACACTGATTCCACCACCAAGCTGCCTCTCAGCTGCCTGGAACCATGAGCGGACAGTGAGGAAGGTCCAGTTCAGCCAGCCCTAGCCTTCCCAGCAGTGCTTCCACCTCCCGCGAGGAGGCAGCACCTCCATCCACCGTCGGGGTCCAAGCCCTGCCTGTCCCTCCCGGAGGGCACTCTCCTCCGGAGTCACAAACCCAGCAGAGCTTCTCTGTCCTCCAGGAGAATTAGTGACAGTGTCCATGAGGGCTGGGGTCCAGGCCGAGGACCAGGTTAACCAGAAGCACAGGGCTTTTCTTCCAGCAAATGGTCAGAGAGGAAAGATGGTCCTTCTGCAGCACAGAACTCATCAGTCAGACACAAGGAAATCTCCGTGGGGGAACAAGAGAGAAGAGGGAAATGGAGCAGGTTGCCTTCTGGCGCAGCTCTTATCTTACCGAAGTGCTCCTAGCAGGGTTAAAAAATCAAATAATATTGAAAAAGATCATAATTAAAAAAATAGCTGTCTCTTCCACCTACCTCCCCCAACCCAGAGCTAATAACTTAACTTTGCTAACTGCTTCTTCTGGTATTAAGTGCCACATCCTTTATGGTATTCCTATATTAATTGTGGCTTCCCAGGTGGCGCTAATGGTAAAGAACCTGCCTACCAAAGCAGGAGATGTAAAAAAGGTGGGTTCGATCCCTGGGTCAGGAAGATCCCCTGGAGGAAGGCATGGCAACCCACTGCAGTATTCTTGCCTGGAGAATCCCATGGACAGAGGAGCCTGGTGGGCTACAGTCCACAGGGTCTCAAAGAATTGGACATGACTGAAGCGACTTAATACACACATATTAATTGTTATCACTTTTAGACATTATCAGTTGTCTTCTGATTATAGTCGATGAGGGTTTTGTACTCTTACATCACCCAGTTCTCCTCCATCTCTCAGTACAGGCATATAATTCAATAATCAAATTTCAACATTATGGTTATATAAATTCCATCTACTTTAAACATCACAGAATTTTGCATTTCCTTCCCTGTTCAGTTTTGATTTTTCTTGCAATCAGAAATGTTATTGTTTTCTTACTTTAAGAGGGTTTCTAAGTTAGGAGTTCAACTTTTCTACATCTTTTCCTCTCAGTTTATATCATGGTCCCATTGTTGGGAACAACTCTCTTGTATGTGACGAGTATTTATTGAGCGTCTACTTTTGCAATTTATCCTATTAGGTGTTAAGAGATATAGAAACATGCTCTTTGGCCTTTTGTAGCCTAGAATTCAGTTAACAGACAAGAGCTGCTGCTGCTAAGTCGCTTCAGTCGTGCCTGACTCTGTGCAACCCCATAGATGGCAGCCCACCAGGCTCCCCCGTCCCTGGGATTCTCCAGCCAAGAACACTGGAGTGGGTTGCCATTTCCTTCTCCAATGCATGAAAGTGAAAAGTGAAAGTGAAGTTGCTCAGTCGTGTCCGACTCTTAGCAACCCCACGGACTGCAGCCTACCAGGCTCCTCCGTCCATGGGATTTTCCAGGCAAGAATACTGGAGTGGGTTGCCATTGCCTTCTCCGAAGAGATAAGAGAGGCACACATAAAAAGATAAACAGTACAAGCATGAAGCAACAACTTAAGCATTGCCCTATGTGCTCTGTGATATGTGTAGAGTTAATAGGACCCACAAGGAATGTTCTGGAGCCAGAGGCTAGAGGCACACAGAAGGTTTTCTGGGAGGTACCAGGCCTGAACTGGCTTTGAAGTCTCATCAAAGTGGAGATAAGAAGAGAATATTCTAAGGGAGGGGATCAATGAAGAGATGGTCCTGGACCCCAAACATAGGAAACATCTTTGAACAGGACTCGGTCTCAATTTTCTCATTATTAAAATGCAAGGAGAAGCTGGCAACTGGTACTATGGTTGTTTGAGATAAAACCCCTAATCTTAGGAAATAAACACTGAAATACTTAGAGAAAAATGTCCAAAATGTATGTAACCTTCAAATGGTTCAGAAACAAACAAAAATGGATACAGTGTAGGCTATTCCTTGCACTATTATTTTGGGACCCTTTGGAACTTTGTAATTATTTGGCAAGTTATAAAGACACCTTCAACAACTCTATCTTAAGGAAATAATCACATTCATATAAGCTTAATGATTTAAGCAGAAAATTATTCTTTGTTCCATTGTAGCAAAGAAAGAAAGAAAAGAAATCAAATATTCAACAAAAGGAAAATGGCTAAGTAAATTCTATAGTACTTCATGCTGCCAGGAGCATGGATTTTTCCAATAAATTTAAGTCTCAAAAGAAAATGATCAAAGTACAATGTCAAATGAAAAAACAGAGAATAAAAGCCAGCACATACTATATAAATCCAATTATGTATCTATATAGACTTTAAAAATTGAAGAAAATATACCACAGTATTAACAGTAGTAAGATTGAGGGTAATTTTATATTTAAATTTTCTATATTTTAAAGTTTTCCATAGTGAACAGGTGTTTTTCTAATAAGAAAATGAACATAGTTTTATAAAAAACTAAAGAAAATAAGATTAGTGGACAGATCCAGGGTTATTTTCATAATTTTTAAGGACATAGCTCAGTTGGTAAAGAATCTGCCTGCATTGCAGGAGACCCCAGTTCGATTCCTGGGTCAGGAAGATCTGCTAGAGAAGGGATAGGCTACCCGCTCTAGTATTCTTGGGCTTCCCTTGTGGCTCAGCTGGCAAAGAATCCACCTGCAATGAGGGAGACCTGGGTTCAATCCCTGGGTTGGGAAGATCCCCTGGAGAAGGGAAAGGCTACCCACTCCAGTGTTCTGGCCTGGAGAATTCCATGGAGTGTATAGTCCATTTGGTCGTAAAGAGTCGGACATGACTGAGCGACTTTCACTTCACTCACAAGATAAAATTGATAATGTTTATTTTTTGAAATCATATTCATAATGGGTGTTTTTTATATCTCTTAAAAAGCGGAGAAGACTACCCTATAGAGTTATTGGCAGGATTAAATGAAATAATCTTTGTAATGTGCTTAGCCAACTCACTGGAAAAGACCCTGATGCTGGGAAAGATTGAAGGCAAAAGGAGAAGAGGATGCCAGAGGATGAGATGGTTAGATAGTATCACTGATTCAATGGGCATGAATTTGAGCAAATTCCAGGAGATAGCAAAGGACAGGGAAGCCTGGCGTGCTGCGGTCCATGGGGTTGCAAAGAGTTGGACATGACTTGGCAACTGAACAACAAAGCTAGCACAGCACCCACCCAAAGTAGAATATGTATGTGTAATACTGTTATTTAGCTGCTAAGTTACGTCTGACTCTTTTGTGACCCATAGACTGCAGCCCATCAGGCTCCTCTGTCCATGGAATTCTCCAGGCTAGAACTACTGGAGTGGGTTGTCATTTCCCCCTCCAGGGGTTCTTCCCGACCCTTAGGATCAAATCCCGGTCTCCTGAATTGCCCGGTGGATTCTTTACCACTGAGCCAGCAGGGAAGCCCATATATGTAATATACACCATAGCTAGCTATTTAAATAAACCTCGTCTCCCTGCTTCTTGCCTGCCAGCCTGTCGTTGACAGTGAGTTTAGCCGGATGGGGGCTGGGCGCCGGGTCGGGCCGGGGTGACCCACCCTGGCCTCCGCAGGTGGCGGGCGAGTACTTCAAGAACACCACGCTGCTGCTGGTGGGCGTCATCTGCGTGGCGGCGGCCGTGGAGAAGTGGAACCTGCACAAGCGCATTGCTCTGCGCATGGTCCTGATGGCTGGAGCCAAGCCGGGCATGTGAGTCACACTGAGCGCGCCTCCCCAGCTCCCACTGGACCCCCTGGACAGTCAGGGGGATGTCCACCTGAGGTTTTCTACCAAAAGGGATGGGAGGACACCAGGGCCTTGAGGCTCCCTCCTCTCCCTCCAGGGAGAGGGACTGTGACCTTGGAACGGAGACGTTAGTGTCCTTTATTGTCACAAATAAATAACCCGAGTAACCTAGACTCCTGGTGCAGCAGGTTACAACATCTAAGCGGCTCGTTCAATAAAACAAGATGGACCAACGTAAGCTGTTTCCCAGCCTTCTTTCCGGTGTATCAGGTAACAGGCTGGATGAAGCAGTGGTGTCTTCTCCTCTGTCATTTAAGGGGGCGTGGCAGTTTCCTGCCATCCACCCCGCGTTCGTGTTGTCACTGGTTCAGACCACAGGCCTGTCAGACGTGGCACCTGACCCGATCTGCAGCCCCTCAGCTGTCTCCTCTTCCGTCTTTGCTGTCAGGAGGGGTACTTGGGAATGTGTAGGAGGTCAGAAATGATGGTGTTGTGTGAACTCACTCCCACTGTTGAATAATAACCCTGCCCTTCCCTTTGGAATACTTTCCTCACCTCCTTCTAGCTTACAACTTTCTTGCAACCCTTTTTCCCTGGCTCCTTTGGGAATCCAACAGAGCATACATAAATAATATGGTATTCATTTTCAACATTAGTCATTAGATGAATACAGGTTATAATTCAAAAGATGTTCCCGTCTCTCACTTAACCACAGCTTTAATTCACAGCATTAAAGCGGGGGGCTGGGGGTATTCTCAGTAATACCCCCTCACTCAATAATAACCTAATATTGTACCCCACACTCGATCTGCTGGACACAGTTTGGCACTTCCCCACATGATATTCAGACTCTGCAGCTCTTTAAAACCCGTGAATACCATCTTCGAGAATTTTTATCCCATTGTGTTTCCACTCATCTCTGTTCACCGCACCTTCCACCCCTGTGAGGCCCTCTGTTTGCTGGTGAGGGCCCAAATCAGACAAACTCTTGTCGCCATCAGCCTAAACAGAGGCTCCATTGGGGCTCTGGCACCTACCCAGTCTTGATCCATAGGACAGACATGCTGGCCCCAAACTGCACAGTCGGTGATCCCACCTAAGGTGATCCACATGGGAAGTTTTTATGTTGACTTCTCTTATGGAAATGAGAACTATATCTGTACACACAGTGCATGTTTTCAAAGTCAAGGAGAACTTGAATGTTATCTTTGTTAGCCTTTCTCCAAGCCTCAACTCTTTAAGACACCAGCTTGAAAAAGTGCACACAGTGAAATTGAACACTGGGGCCTTTGAGGGCTAAGCTTTCAACATGTTAGTAGTGGAACAAGTAGTGGGCGGAATCATGAGCTCCATCCATTCATCTCTATTCGGTTGCTAATAACTATGGTGACATGGCTGCAAAGCAAGGAATATGAAGGTATTCAGAGGTTTGCTGGCTGCAAGGGCCAAAAAAGAATTCCTTTATACCCACAAAGAAACACACATCATCACCAAGCTAACGTCACCAAGTTCTCTCCACAGAGAAATGAGGAATCAGTTAAGTCCATGCCCTGTGACCCTATGACCAAAGCTCTTTGCTTAAGTAAGGGCTTATTTTGGTGGGGGGTAGGGGGGAATGCCAAGGCCACACTAGCCCATGAAGTGTGCTTAAGTCATTCAACACATCTTCACATCTTTAATGTTGACTCTGTGCCAAGCCCTGAGAGTACCAAGTATGACATAAAACCCCAATATTCTGGATAAACACCCACACCGGTGGGTTGGTAGGAGGCCCTGAGGGAGCCCCGTGAGGTCAGAGGTTGGGCCTGGGGAGGTGGGCATGCCCCCCACCCCGAACCCCTCCCTGCCTTCCAGGCTGCTGCTCTGCTTCATGTGCTGCACCACGCTGCTGTCCATGTGGCTCTCCAACACGTCCACCACTGCCATGGTCATGCCCATCGTGGAGGCCGTGCTGCAGGAGCTGGTCAGTGCCGAGGAGGAGCAGCTCGTGGCCGGCACCTCCAGCGCCGAAGAGGCCGAGCCCATCAGTACAGTTTGCTGGAGTTCATCTCCCCCTTGCTCCTCCACCCCTCCTCCAGTGACACCGCCCAGCTCGGCACCTGCTCCCACCGCCCCCCGCCCCGGCTTCCCTCCCCTCGTCTTCTGACGCCCCCCTCCCCTGCCCTTTATCCCCTAACCTCCAGCCCTGCTCATCCAGAGGTTCCCTGTGACCCCCATTCCCAGCTGTTCCTTCTTGCCCCGCTTCCAGCAGCCTCTGCTGCTCCCTGCCCCCAGACGCTCAAGGATTAGCCCAGGACCCCAGGCTTTTTTCTGTGTCCCTGAGTCCCACCACGCCCTCAGAGCGGAGGGAAGGGGCGTCGCCAGGCACCAGGCCCAGCGGGAGCCTGCATGCCCCTGGGTCCCCCTAGTCCAGCCCCAGCCCCGAGCCCCGGCCCTTTAGGATCAAGTCCGGACTCCATGTCTAACTTTCTGCTTTCCTTTGCTGCTGTAGACCTCGACGTAAGCAACAGCCAACCTCCCCTGGAACTCATCTTCGTCAATGAAGAGTGAGTATGACTGCCCCCCCAGGTCCATCCCAGAGGTCAGGAAAGAGTCCCCCCAGGAACCGCCCTTTCAGCTGAGTGGGCCACACTCACAGCTCACCACACCACCACCTTACCCCCGCCTCGATTTCCTCTCTGCCCGGGAGACACGGCCCAAGATCCTGAGGGCCACTCCCTTCAAAACCGGGTACTGCAGGGCTGAGGGAAGAGGGGGAAAGGCTACGCTGAACCTGACAGGATATACAGACTGTGCATACATTTCCCAAGCAGAATTTCATCTAAATTGATGTCCCTCTTGGGAGAATATTTTAAAAATCTATTGATGAAAAACATCTTGCATATTGGATATTGCTGGAGCCTCTTAGAGGACCACAAAGTATTTCATAGGTATAAGATATGGTCTTACTAGTTTTGGTGAGATTTTGGTCTCACAAGATTTGGTCTTGTTAGATGTGGCAGGGAAAAATTAAGTGGCACGTAGGGGATAACAGGACAGTTGGTGAGAGAGCCACAGGACAATGAAAACAAGCTTTTTTAGAACAGGAGAAATCTGGTCTCAAACACTCATGTGAGGCAGATTCATGAACAGCTGATTTCTTTTGAACATCTGATATCAATGTGTGGTCTTCAAGGAAGACTGTGATGAATAGGACATTTTAAAAGTTGGATCTGTACTAGAGCTCCGTTGTGCAATTTGCTATTTTCATAAATAAAGGGGGGGGACCCACAGTGAGTGAGACCAGCACTATCTGGAGAAACAGATGCAGGGGGCCTCTCCTCCCACCACTGTCTCCGATCATAATACACTGGCCTTGCCTCCCCACCCTTGATGATGTCTCGGCAAATCCCACAGCTCCTCCCAGACATTAGACCAATCTCATTTTCAGATATTCCACCATCTAGTCCAGGCTCGTGTCAAAACTTCGCTCTCTCATTTGAAGCTTCTCCCCACACTCTCTCGTGCTCACACTCAACCCCTCGTCAGCACAGGTCTGCAGGATGAGAGGTGACCGTGAGTGGGAGAGACAGCTGGCTTTTTCTCTCAGTCTCCCTCTGCCTTCCCCTCCCCTCACCAACCCTCTCTGCTACTTCTGACTTCTCCAGGGTCAGGACAGCGGCTGTAGGGAGCAGGAAAGATACAGGGGCACAGAGGGCCTCGGCTGGAAGTATTGGAGAGTGCAGTCAGTGCCCGGGGACTCAGGTCCCTACGCTTTCCCACACCGGGCATTTCCCTTCAGCGTCTTCAGAGTGTCCCCTGGAGGCCACCTCTGCACAGGGCCCAGTGGCATGAGGTGCTCTTGGAGAATTACTTGGCCACCTTGGTTCTGTGTTCTGATGGCTCACTCCCCAAGCCCTTCCGTCTGGGGTTGCCTCTGCCTCTTTGGTGGAGCGTTTTCATGCTGAGCAGTGGCCTAGCCACCTTCCCTGGGGGCCTCCCCCCCCCAGCGCCCCCGCCGACAAGAACCGCTGGACACCGAAAGCTCTAGCTGCTCCTGGAGCAGGGGGGTCTGTTCCCCCTCACTCTGGCCTCCTGGGCAGCGCCCACTGGCCTCTTGCCCTTGTTTCTTTTCCAGATGAAAACACACGTCCCAAACTCCAAAGCCGAAGCTCAGGGTGTCCCTGGATTCTCTCAGCAGCAGTGGAGCAGGGGGATTCAGGGAGGGGGTTGCCAGACTGCCAGACAGGATGGCAGTCTGAGGGGTTCCACACCAGCCTCCTCACTGATTTGGGAAGGAGGACAGGGAAATATCACAATACTCCCCCGAGGCTGACAACTCCCTCCAATGAACGCTTCCCCATGAGCTCCATCAACTCCCGATAGAGCCTGGAGGTGGGTCCTGCATGGGTCCAGCACCTCACTGGCTTTCCCATGGCTGAGCTCACGGGACCCACTGTCCTCAGAGCTAAGACAGACCAGAAGCATGCCTTTAGTGCTGAGTGGGAGTCGGTAAGGCTGGTGTTAAATCCCCACCTTCCTCTCTCCCCAAGGCAGAGCTGGAGGGCGGCCGGGGTGGGAGGGACTCGGCACCCGCGGTGACTCCCACCCTGGGGGGTGCAGCTGCTGCTGAGAAACTTGCCCCCACCTTCTTGCTGACCTGTGCCTTTCACCACCCGTGGCCCTGGCCCTCCCTGCTCCTGTTCTCCTTAGAGAAGCATTTCCCATTTCTCCTTCTAGATGGTCAGCCAGTGAGACCGCGGTCCAGGGGCCCAGGCTCTCCAAGGCAGGCAGACAGGTTCCTCTCTGGTACTACCACTTAGCACCCAGGCCCCCCGGGGAAGCTAGTAACGTCCCTCTGCCTAGATTCCTACCCTGTAAATGTAGGGAACAGTACCTGCCCCACAGATCTGCTGAGATTAAAAAGGTCATGAGGATTGGAATCCATTCTTGAGGGCTCAGCTCCATGTTAGCTATTATTAGGAGTCTCGGTCTCCCTTCAAAGGCAACCCCCTGACCCTTGTCCCCACAAATCCTTACCACATCTCTCGAAGGTGAGATTCGTCTTCTTTGTAGCCAAGAACACCCGAGTCTAGAAGGGTCCTTTATACCAAACATCAATGTGGGGAGGATCCCCATCTCAGCCAGTCTGGGCCACTGCTGTTTTTCCCACCGCCTTTGTTCTCTTCCAGCACGTCGAATACAGACTTCAGTTCCCTGATGCAGAACAAGGTATGGCCTTGGGTTTCTCCTGCGCTTTGAGACACTTAAAAGACCCTCAAGATAACTCATGGGGCCTTCCCTGGCAATCCAGTGGTTAAGATGCTGCCTTTTCACTGCAAGGGGTGCAGGTTGATCCCTGCTTGGGGAACAGAGATCCTGCAAGCTGCACGGTGCAGCCAAAAAAAAAAGCCAATTATACAAAAAAAAGGTAACTCAGAGACAGAGATGCCTGGCAGCTTGTCGAGAGCCAGTGGACTTCTCAGATGTGAGGGTAGAGAGGTCCTCACCTGAGCCTGGACACGTGAGGCTTCGGGCAGTTCTGAACCCCAGGCCTGGTTTCTGGTCTTAGCTTCACAAAGGGACAAGCTAACTTTTCCTCACAGAAACCCAATATTCAGCCATCCATGGATTCACCCTTAGGACTCCTTTCAGGAAGGGTTCATTTACAAAAGGGGATGGTTTATAGGTGAAAGTCAAGTTGCCCACACACTGCTCAGCCTTGCCCCTTCCCCTAGGGTTGGTTTTACATCACTTCTCACCTCAGTCCCAATGGATGGGCCTTGATTGATCTAAACTGTGGACTTGGTTATGTGCGTTTTCTTTCTCATTTTCTGTGTGTTAAAATGAAGGGCTCTTCATGAGCTAATGGAGTTCTAGAAAGTCAAGCTCTCCTCTAAGGACAGAGCCATGTTTTTCCAAATTTCAAAAGCTTCTTCAAATGGGGTGCTTGGTCCAGCTGGACAGGAACCTGTGAAAAGGAGGCAGGCACAGTGGGGGTGGCTCTCTACCTTCTGTTCACCCTGGCTCTGCTCCCCAAGTCCCCAGGGAGGGGAGACAGAGGTGTGACCCCCCCCCCCGGGGTGATCCAGTGGCTTCTCCAGACCCCACATCCTCCTCCTGATGGTGTGATGGTCTTTGTCCCGACAGAACCTGAATGGTGTGCCCACAGTCACCAGTTCTGCCAAAACAGCAAACCTCCCAGGCAGGGAGCAGCACCCATCCCAGGTAATGGAACGGTACCCCCTGGCCCTGTTTCCTTCGTGAAGCACCCGAGCTCCCAGAGGGCCTGTTCCTGCAGCTGTGAGGGCGTCAGGCAGGCGGGCTGTTACCAGGCCACTTCAGCCACCTGTGTGTGAGGTCTGTGTGTGCCGTGGAGACCAGGCATCCCACTCGCTGCTGACTTCAGCAAGTTATCCCACTCTGCCCGAGCCCCAGTCTCATCAGCTTTAAAACTGAGGCTCAGTCTAGATCAGAGGTGTTCACACTACTCCTCAAAGGTGCTTCGGGGGCACTGCAAATATTGTGTTCACGTATCCTGAGGTTTTTAAGGCAACTGCTTTTCTGTTCCCTGATTTTCCTGGGACTTTTATCACTGAAACAAAATGCAGAAGTAAAACAGATGTGGAAGCTGGCGTCACACTGCAACTCTTACTTATAACCCTAGATTTCAAGTTTCTGTGTTCATTTAAATCATCTCAATTATGTAGCATCTATATCATCATAAATAAATACCATTGTTTATTAAATACCAAGCACCGTGCCAGGCATTTGCTCTCTAGTCTTGGCTCAACGAGGGAGCAACTTTGAACTGAGATGCAGAGAGATGTACCCAAGGCTTTGGAGCTAGTAAGAGGAGAACCTTGATTCAAATACACTTTCAATTAAAACATCAATGTATGCCCATTAAATGCCATATTTGTTTCCTCTATTGGAGGTCCACATCAGTTTTCATTAGGAGAAAGAATCATGGAAAACCACTGGACCAGAGACTCTCTGAGGTCTTCTCCAGCTCTTATAATCAAGGACTCTTTCAGGAGAATGTGGAAGGCTCCAGCCTTTTCCGGGCCCTTGTAGGAAGATGGGGCAGAGGTTATGGGCTTTGAGAATTGTGGCAGGGTGGCCTCTGCCCCCCGGTCTCCCCATGGCCTGGCCTGGTGACATTTGTACCAGGCTACTCCTAGTCTCATAGGCCTGGCAGGACAGAGGGGCACTGGCTTCTTAAGCCCAGAGCTGAGATCAGAAGTCAGAAACCTCTGACCCTGAAAGGCCATCACATGGACCACTCAGGGCCTGACCGGACCAGGGCAAGGCTGAGATTTCTATGCAGATTGAGGGGGAGGAGAAAGAGGGGAGGAAAAATCAATAGGCAAGAAGGAAAAAGTGAGAAAGAAGGGAGGAGAGAAACACACTTTGACTCTCTTCAAAGCTTCTTTTTTTAGTCATTGCTGAACCAGGATGGTATTGTAACTCCACAGAGAATTACCATCTTCCATTTGGTATTTAAACATGAAGTAGAGAGCAGTCAGTTTTACTGGAATTCAAGTAAAAAACATAACTGTTAATATTTGTAACAACAAAAATAACAATATTAATAGCTTACCATTTGTTAAATGCCAGGAAAGGTTCCAAGTGCTTTCTATTTACTCTTTACAACAACCTGGCCAAGGAACTGGATTTTCCCCATTTTACAGAAGAAACTATAATTCAGATGGGGCTGCCCAAACAGGTCAAGAGTAGAACTGGGACTGGGACCCATCTGACACCCAAGCTCAAAACATATCTGCTGCACAATGGTCTTTCATGCTCTGTGGGCCAGAAGCCCCATCTGGGTTGGAGAAGTTCACTGACTTTCCTTTGGTAGGCAAAGCCACCAGTCCTGACCCCCAGCTCCAGGAATCAGGAGCTCAAAAGAAAGTACAAGTCCCAGCACGACCAGATGATCTGCAAATGCCTCTCTCTGAGCATCTCCTATGCCGCCACCATCGGGGGTCTGACCACCATCATCGGCACCTCCACCAGCCTCATCTTCTTGGAGCACTTCAACAAGTAAGTAATCTATTTGGTCAACAAGTATTTACAAACCATAGCAGGTCAGCAACAGACCCGGGTGCTAAGGATATGGCAGAAAATGGAATCAGAGCAGCTTCTATACAAAGGGCCAGAGAAAAGATCAAGTCATTAGAGTTAAATGTGATGAGAAGGGTGGGATTCTGCAAGGGTGGTGGGGAGCGGGTGGGGGGCATCCACTTAGAAATGCCTCCCCAAAGAGGTGATGATGAAAGTAGAGACCTGGAGCCTGAGCTGGAGTAAACCAGACAAAGGGAGATCTTCCAGACAAAACAGTGTAAGAGGCTCAGAGGCAAGAAAGCAGAGAAAATAAAGGCAATGGCAGAAGGAGAAAGGAGGCCAGGGAGGTAGATGCACAGACCACCCAGGGCCTCAGAAGGCCCATGAAGGAACTGGAAATTCATCCGAAAAGGCTGGGAGAAGCCTTTGAAGAATTATAGGCAGGGAATGAGGTGATCACATTTACAGTTTTGAAAACGCATTCTGGATTTTAAAAATGAACAGTGGAATTTGGGAAGGAAAGGGCAGGAAGACAATCCAGGCTGCTGCTGCCAGCGCCCGGGACAGAGCTAGTGGCAGCCTGGATAACAGTGGGAGGAGAAATGAACTGATCTGAGCTAGCTTCTGAGGTCAGATTAGGAAAAGCCTGAGAGAGGGGAAGCCCTGGACTCATTGTCCGAGTTGGGGCTTCAGCAGCTGGGGAAACAGAGCTGCCCTTGACCTACATGAGGGTAAAGATGAGGAAATGCTGATAGAGAAGTGGACATGTCCGGGTGGACACGTCCCTGAATCTCAAGAGGCATTTTCAGGCTAAAGACACAGATGTGGAGTCGGGGTGGCCTGCAGAGGCAGGCCACCTGTGCCATCCCCAGGCCACCAGGCTGACAAGGGCCTCATGTGGGGTTTAATGTCCTGCTGTCAGTGAACAAGCGGCCCTACGTTTGCCTTTTGCTCTGGGCCCCACAAAGTAGATGGTAGCTGGTCCTAGTGACTTGCATACAGAAACTGAAGCCCTAAGAGTGACAGAGATTACTCAGGAAGAACGCACAGAATAAGGAGATCAGGGGCATAAACATTAAGCCCAAACATTCAGGGATTTCCCTGTTGGTCCAGTGGTTAAGACTCTGCCTTGCAATGCAGGGGACATAGGTTCTATCTCTGGTCGGACATCTAATATCCCACATGCCGCAGAGCAATGCAGCCCACACACCACAGCTCAAGAGTACAGGCACCGCAATGAGAGATCCCCCGTGCTGCAAGTAAGACCCGACACAGCCAAATAATAAATAAGTAAATATTTTTTTAGAAAAACATTTAAAGTAGACTAGAAAAGAGAATAAAACAGTATCAGACAGAGAAGAGGAAAATCTAGTGTCATTCTACCCAAGGGAAAAACGTGGTCCATATTGTTTAAAGTTGTTGAATGACCAGGCAAAGTAAGGACAAAAATGTATCCATTAGATTTGATGATATGGAGGTTACTGGTGACCTAGGCAAGAACAATTTGGTCAAGTGACCTGAAAAGAAGCCAAATTTCAGTAGTTTGAGGAGTAAGGTGGAAATGAGGAAATGCAGAGTTGGCTGTGAAGGGAAGGGGAGAGATGGGGTGATAATAAAGGGAGGATAAAGCATCACAAATAAATGGGGAAACAATGGAAATAGTCACAGACTTTATTTTCTTGGACTCCAAAATCACTGCAGATGGTGACTGCAGCTATGAAATTAAGACACTTGCTCCTTGAAAGAAAAGCAATGACAAACCTAGAGAGAGACATTACTTTGCTGACAAAGGTCCGTATCATCAAAGCTATGGTTTTTCCAGTGGTCATGTATGGATGTGAGAGTTAGACTACAAAGAAAGCTGAACACTGTAGAGTTGATGCTTTTGAACTGTGGTGTTGGAGAAGACTCTTGAGAGTCCCTTGGACAGCAAGGACATCAAACCAGTCAATCCTAAAGGAAATCAATCCTGAATATTCACTGGAAGGATTGATGCTGAAGCTGAAGCTCCAGTACTCTGGCCACCTGATGTGAAGAGCCAACTCATTGGAAAAGACCCTGATGCTGGGAAAGATTGAAGGCAGGAGGAGAAGGGGATGACAGAGGATGAGATGGTTTGATGGCATCACCAACTCTTTGGACATGAGTTTGAGCAAGCTCTGGGAGATGGTGAAGGACAAGGAAGCCCGGCGTGTTGCAGTCCATGGGGTCACAAAGAGTTACGACTGGGCAACTGAACAACAAAGCAGGGTCAAGAAAGGGCTCTTAAGATGAAAGACATTCCAGCGCTGATAGGAATGATCCAGATAAGAAATAATTAAAGACTAGGGAGAGGGGATGACTGACAGTGATGGCACTGAGAAAACAAGAGGGGGTAGGATCTCGAGCAGGGAGAGAATGAAGGAAAATGAAAGAAAATGAGGAAGGAGATGGGAGGAAGAGGGATAGATCAAAGTTTAAGACCTAATTCCCCAGGATCTGAGCTCTTCACACCATAGTACTCTGCCCAAGCTCTGAGTTTCTGCCCCTCTGGTTTAGTTTCTGGGCCAATTCATATTCTTTTAGTCTATATCTTGGGTTTTAAATTTATCAGAATCTTTACATAAATTAAGAAGCAAACAGATCTGAGTGATTCTCCAGAGTGCAACATGTATACACTTCCATGATATCAATTTTGGTTCCTTGGATGCCATTTTAGCACATTCCATAATTCTTGGCTGGGCTCAGGACAGCTGCAGCTGTCAAGTGACTCCTCGATAATGTATTATCATACTTTTATCATTAGCTGTACTGTTAACTCTGCTTTATGTCTCCTAAGGACTATTTAGCTTATTACCCCCCAAAACACTACATGGAAGTCCACCCCTTTCTAACCACTGGCCTGGTTCTTTCCCTTCCAGCCAGTATCCAGCTGCAGAAGTGGTCAACTTTGGTACCTGGTTCCTCTTCAGTTTCCCCATCTCCCTCATCATGCTGGTGGTCAGCTGGTTTTGGATGCACTGGCTGTTCCTGGGCTGCAAGTGAGTCCTAGGGCCCTGAGAGCAAGGCTCTCCCACCCATCCAGGGCCCTGAGGGTGAGACTCTACTGGGAGCTGCCAAGTAACCATCAAGGATGCCCAGAGGAGAAGGCAGTGAAGCAGATGAGGACTCAGGCATCGTGTTTTCTAGATACTCCAAACACACGTGGACTCTGCACTTCTCTATGAGCTCTACAGTGTAATGTTCTTAAGGTCAACCGACTGGTTAGAGGAAGGGCTGGATTCATAAAAAGTCTGAATTGGAGAGTAGTTAATGTAGTTTCATGGAGAGTAATTTGAACTAATTTCTAAGGAAATGACTCCAAGTAGAAGTTGCCTTAGGCTTAATTTTATAGACGTGACTGATATATACTTAATAGTTGTATGAGATATGCTCATATCACTCAAAATAACATTAGACATTCCTCTTGTAATACTATTTCTAATATTAATCTACCTAGCCAGCTTTCCATTACCAATGCTTACTCCAAATTTGATCAGTTTCAAACACATAAAGGAAAGATATACCTGATGTTTTGCTATTAGTCCAGGGGACCCAACTTTCTCATTTTTCAGGGAATGTTCTCTAAGCTGAGCTTTTTAAAAAAATAACTCAAGAGACAATCATCAAATCAATGATAACTGTATACTTCCATGCTCCCAGTATTGCTAATTGAAAACTAACACCCACATTCACCCCAAACCACCCTGTCTCTAGACAGATGCACACACACACACACACTTCTATGTGTGCTTGCAAAAAAGTAAATATATAAGCATCTACATACATATGCCACACCACAGTGATTCTCACTTAGGTAAAGGATGAGTGTGTAGGGACTTCCCTGGCAGACCAGTGGCTAAGATGCTGCGCTTCCAATGCAGGGGGCACAGGTTCAATTCTAGTTAGGAATTAAACAGGATCCCACAAGCCACACGGTGCAGCCTAATTAATTAGCTAAATTAAAAAAACAACTGGGAGCAGGGGAAAGATGAGTGTGTAGAAACAACCCCACATAAATACCCTCACGCAAGTCCATGAGACATGACTTCACATTTACATACCAGAGATTCACCCAGGAAGCTGGGGAGAAGATTGCTGAGAGGCTGTGTTAACTTGGCAGACGAAGTCACATGATAGGCGGAGTGAGGGGAGAGAAGAACTGTCACAGCCAGGCCAGTAGTTTAGTGTTTGCTTACGACTTGCTCTCCACTTGCTCTCAGAAGTGGCCTTCATTCCTCTGCTTATTCTTCCCTTCTCAGTTTTAAAGAGACCTGCTCTCTGAGTAAGAAGAAGAGGACCAAAAGGGAGGAGTTATCAGAGAAGAGGATCCAAGAGGAATATGAAAAGCTTGGAGCCATTACGTAAGAATCAGTCCTTCACCCTCTCTCTTTTCCCAAGAGTAAATCACAGCAGGTAAAGTGTGCACAGAAGCAGCCTTGTTCTTGGTGGCCTCCTGAGCTGGGGGAGTTTTCCTCAAGTACAAATAGAGGTGCTATTTAATGCCAAAGACAAGCTGGCCCAGGCCCTAGGGGCCACCCTTCCCTGTTGCTGTATTCCAAGTTGTTGAGCAGAAGCTGCGTCTCAGGTTTCCAGTTCTGGAGCCCTGATCTCAAGAGCATCCTGAAGCAAAGTGAGGAGGCCAAGCGAAACGTCCCAGTTCCTGGAGGTCTTCCTGTTTTCTCTTCTAGCTACCCGGAAATGGTGACTGGATTCTTCTTCGTCCTGATGACCGTGCTGTGGTTTACTCGGGAGCCTGGCTTTGTTCCTGGTTGGGATTCCTTCTTTGAAAAGTAAATGATACCGTCTCTGTGAACGACCCCCTCACCCAAACTCTTCAGGCAGTACCTACCAGGGTCCCTTCCTAGACTCTTAGGGATAGTCAGGAACCCAGGAAGGACTCTGTCCTCTTAAAAATTCCCCTTTCTTAGAGAAGTTGCAGTGCAGACTCAAGAAGAAAACAGTCTTTGGAGTCTGCCTCCAGGATTGGGGTCAGGAGCTGCCACTTACCATCCACATGACCTTGGTCTTGTTACTTAAGTGCTTGTTTCAAGAATTTAAAGGAGAAAACGTAGAGTAAAACACCACCTGTAAAGGCTATGGTCGCAGTGGCCGAGGGGTGTCCCGCCACCCCCCCCCATATTCCCGAGGGCCAGGGCCACAGGCCACAAGCTCTCAGTGCCAGCTGTGCCCCTCCCAGGAAAGAGAATGCCCCCTTTTCTCTTCTCCTCTGTCTAAAATAACTCCTGCTCACTCCTTCCAACAAGTCCATAAATTCACACTAAGACATCTACCCTAGCCAGGCCCTGCCTCCAGACATTAAAGCCACCAGCGGATGGCATGGCAGCAGCTGGCCAGAAGGAAGGCTGAGGTCCCCACTAGACTAGGTGCCCTAGAAAGGCACCACGTGCAGACAGGCTGTCCTGCGCCCAGTGTGACCCCTGGGCCTCCTGACTCTCCTCCCCAGCTCTGCTTGTCTCTGGCAGGAAGGGCTATCGCACCGATGCCACGGTCTCTGTCTTCCTTGGCTTCCTCCTCTTCCTGATTCCAGCGAAGAAGCCTTGCTTCGGGAAAAAGAGAGATGGTGAGAGGAGTTCAAGGGAAGAGTCGGGGCTGGCTCCAGTCAAATAATGGTCTAAGTTCAGAATTTCTGGAAGGAGCCTTACCATAGCCCTTCTGACTCCTCCTGGCGTAGCAGAGTATCCTCTCGTTCATCAACGAGACCCCTGTCTCCACGAATCACACCAGGAGGGTTCACCTGGCTCCACCTCCCTGTCTCTCTGTGATCTAGGGGAGGACCGGGGGCCCTCGCTGGGCATGGAGCCCATCATCACGTGGAAGGACTTCCAGAAGACCATGCCCTGGGAGATCGTCATTCTGGTGGGAGGAGGCTACGCTCTGGCTTCTGGCAGCAAGGTAACCCTTGAGTTGTCTTATTGGGCCAAGTATTTTTCATTATGTAAATTATGTAAAGCCACTGGCTTTACATAACGAGTCCTTATGGTTCTGGGATTCAAAGGTGCTAAGAGGTGAATGTCCACCCAAGTCGCTGGGAAGGGAAGCCAGGAATGGACATCATGTCCCACCCTGAATGTCTAAATGGCACCAATGGGAGCAGAGTCCCAGAACACAGGCATTCACACCTCATGTATGGGCCCACACCACTGCAGGCAAGAGAAATACTGGACTTTGTAGCCATCTCGTCTGGGGATCTGACAGTGGTGACAGGTATAAGGGCCCAGAGATGCCCCAGACTGATCCCTCAGTTAGTCTGTATGCCTATCCTGAGGCCCTTTGGAGAATGTATGCTAAAGCGGGTGTAGATGCCCCCTGATTTCCTGCATGGGAGGATTTGGGATGAGTTCTTTTAAAGGGGGCTGGTGGGAAAGAGTTGATTTCCCTAACCCTTTCCTGAAGTAACAACCGTTAATAATCAGGTTAAGGTTCTCACTTTTTTCTTCCTCTGTCTTCTCCGTATGTTTAACACATTAACCCATTCTAAACGTGGCTCAGTTTTGACTGCCCACTGTGTGGGCCTCAATGCTATCTGCATCAGTAATCAGGTCCCAGGGTCCTCCACTTGGAAGGAACCATGGAGGACACTGGGTCCCCTAGCCCACCCAGGAGAGACTTCTTCCCTCCAGGACACCTTGGGTGATGAGGCCAGCCCTGCACAACCAGCAGAGAAGTCACTCTTGACTTTCAGTTAAAGTCTTCTGGATGTCTTCCATCTCAGGAACCCTCTCCTCAGTAATAATTATTAAAACAATACAGACACTTATGTTCCCCTAGATTATGTTTTCTTCCAACTAAAACTCCCCAGTTCCTTTAACCATTCTTCATAGGAGTAGTGACCCCTGACCACACTGGTCTCTCTCCTTAGGACTCACTACACCTTGCCTTTGATCAAAGACAGTCCGGGGGTGGTCAGTCTACTGCAGACTAGAGCAGTTATTAATAATAACTCAAGCCCCGTCCTGTATTTTATGGAAGCTTTTACAAGGCACTCAAGTCAATGTTTACACTGAAACCACAGTCAACTGATACCCTTCATTCTTTTCATTGTTAGCCATTATTAAGCTTCAAATCCTTCAATCAGTTCTGTATATATGCTTTCAATATTTGATTCCAAGTTCATAATATCGTATTTATCCTAGTTGAATTTCAGTGGTTAGTTTTGACCACTGAGCCCAGCCTGGCAAGATTTTTTTTTTTTTTTAACCAAAATTGTACGTGTACAGTTGGTATGGCTATAAAACCTACTCACTCTACTACTTTAATAATATAATTTAGGTACAGTATGTGTGATTCCTCCTGAATCAGAAATAATTTCAGAGTCTTAACATTAGCGAGGAAAATTCAATAAAAATGTTTTCATACCAAGGGTTTAAAAAATTAAAGTTTCCTTTATTGTGTTTTTCCCCCTAACTTTACAGTCTAATTTATCAGTTTATTTCAAATTATAGTATAAGCTAGTTCTTCTGAAGAAAAAATTGCCGTTATTTCACTTACTTACAAGTACTGTTGGATAACATGATAAATAATACTCCATTTCTTTATAAAACACACTGCTTCCACTTAGCTAACTTCTCTGCCTCCTCTGTCTTTTCTCATGAGCAGAGTTTTATGTGTTACAAGCAATAGCAATTACAGAGGTTCGAGGCACTGCACCCACCATTAACTGAGGTAGTCCTCACATATTGCATTTATAGCTGTCAGTCTGTGGAGAAAATAAAAAGGAAGTGTCTCAAGGTAAAAATGGCTACATGAGATAATTCTGCGGCCCTTTGGTTATCAGTTGTCTATGAGCGTGCCATGAAGTGGCCCGGGTGCTGTGGAGATGAAATGAACTTTTGATGAACTTGGAGAAGAGGAGAAAGGGTGGCCTGCAGACAACATAGTGAGGCCGTCCTTAATAGCAGAACATGAGTAGGGCCCGCAGTTTGAGGAATCATAAAATGTCTTACCCTTTTTCTTGCCCTAGTCCTCATTTCTTTATTGCATTTGCAGTCTGGAGGGTGAACAGGAAAAGTCAGAGCATGTCAACTAGAGAAGGGAGAGGAGGGAGGGTGGGAGAGCTGGAAAGTGCACACAGCAACCTGGGGTTTTTTAAGAACATAAACTCAATTGTGCCCTTCATTTTTAGGGGATGGGGAGAGCCCTCATCACTGGCAGATGAACATCTTCCAACCAAATGAATTACTCCAAGAGGAAATATTGGTTTATTTGAGTTGATGTGTGTAGGTGTTGCTAATGGAAAAGGTTCAAGACTTTATTTCATATTGACAAGAAGTACGGGCAGATGGTAGATCCTGATGTCAGCCGTAATGAGACCTGAACCTAACACAGGCTGAGGCTGAATGACCATTTCCAGGCTAGTGAGGTGGCACCTTCACCACGACATGGAGACAGACCTGTAATTCCTCTCTCCCTCATTACTCACGTAAAATTTCTAATGTCCAGCCCTGCCTACTCAAGCCGCAAAGACCAGAAGAAAAGTTACTATCCCAACATAGTGATAATTTGTTCCCTTCCGTGGGTGATAATAGAAATAGATTTCAAAAGCAGGAATAAGGAGTACACTTGGCAACCTGTGCAAAGGGCATTGTTGATTGAACGGACAGCATGACACTGTCAGAGGCTGGAGAAAGAGTAGTGGGTTTGAAGCTGAGCGGCCCACCACCCTCAAAGGCCTCCAATCCCTGCCGAGTCGTCACAGCGCTGAGAAGGGTCACAGCAAGTGGAGGCTCTCCGTGCCCTGTGACAACAACTGACCAGGCGGCTCTAGGACTAAATGTGCAACCAATAAAAAAAAAAAGGATTTGCTGAGACCCTTGTGGTCCAGTGGCTAAGACTCCACACTCCCAGTGCAGGGGGCTCAGGTTTGATCCTTGGTCAGGGAACTAGATCCCGCATGCTGCAACTAAGAGCCAGCACAGCTAAATAAATAAATACTAAAAAATAATAATTTGCTGGGCTATGAAGTAACTTAATCATAAAAACAAAACAAAACAAAACAGGAATGCCTGTGGATCCAGCCTGTCTAAAAATAGGGAGGCAAATTAGATGGCTCCTGGTGGTCCCTTCCAGCCCCCACCATCCCTGACCTTCTGGAGGCTAAGAGTGCCGCTCTCTCCTCACTGCACCGCCTTGTCTCCCTGCAGACCTCTGGCCTCTCCTCGTGGATCGGGCAGCAGATGCTGTCTCTGAGCAGCCTTCCACCATGGGCTGTCACCCTGCTGGCATGCATCCTGGTGTCCATTGTCACAGAGTTTGTGAGCAACCCAGCCACCATCACCATCTTCCTGCCCATCGTGTGCAGTCTGGTGAGTAGAACAGGGCTCCCAGACATCCAGTAACTGATAAGTAGATAGATAATAAAAGCAAGAGCTCTAGAAATCCCTTCTCAAAAGTCTAGGCTTAGTTTAGGGGCAGTTCTGAATGGAAACAAGAATGGACAGGATAACTGTTAAAACCCTAGGATTCTAATACCCCACGATTGCCGTCAATCTTTCTTTCCTGTGAAAGTGAAGTGAAAGTCGCTCAGTCGTGTCCGACTCTTTGCGACCCCATGGACTATACAGTTCATGGAATTCTCCAGGCCAGAATACTGGAGTGAGTAGCCTTTCCCTTCTCCAGGGATGAGACCTAACAGGAGGGCAGGAGAAATAGCTACAGAAAATGGAGACAAAAAGTGCTCCCAGAAATACTCTCAGCTGCAGAGACCAAAACCACAGTTCTGTCATCACCGCCTCCACCCAGCTTCTCTGTCCAGGAGATTCTGAGAATTATGAGCAATGCCAGGCTCATTCCTGGGTCTCAGAACAATTTGTGATTAATGGAGTAGGTGTTTGCGCAGTGGGATGGTGGGGGTGGAGCCACTGGCAGATCTCAGCCTGGCTAAGCAGCCCAAGAGGTGATCCACCAAACACAACGCTGCCTCCATCCCATTCTGTGAGGTGGAACCTGTAAGATGAAGGCTCTTCCTCACTGCCAACAAGATAATATCCTCCTACTTTATCAGCCCCAAACTCCTCCCAGTCAGCTACTCTCTGCTCACTGCTCAGACGTCTCCCTCCAACTTCTCCCTCTCATCAGCCCGCCTGCGTGAGTGCAGGAATGCACTTAAAACTTGGTACCATTGAGGGTAAGATCACAGGTCAAGTCCCACATAAGGCAGTTATCTTACCTAGGAAAAACAAAAACAAAAACAAAAACCTTAGTTCTGCACCCCAAGAGCGAGAGATGTCTACCTCAGTCAATGCAACTTATTCATGAGATTTGTGTTGGAAGAATTTCTCAGCTGAAGCATCAAATTTTAAAACTACACCCTTAGACCAGCACCAAGAAACGAAACATCCCTTCTAGTAGGAAGGCAACTTGGAGTCCATGTTTCCATGGGGAGTGAGTGAGCAGCAGGGGCCCATCCAAGGAGCCTGGGACTACGTGCTTTTGAGGGCGTGGTTTAACTGTCCCTCACACATGGTATCCAGTCAAGGGCAGCTGACAGCCAGCCATCATTTAGGCACACTCGTGATGGTAAGCACGGCAAATGCAAGTCTAACCTCCATGCTAATGTTTCTGTGAATTCTCTCTTTTCCTAGTCTGAGACGCTGCAAATAAATCCACTCTACACCCTGATCCCAGTCACCATGTGCATCTCCTTTGCAGTGATGCTGCCAGTGGGCAATCCCCCCAATGCCATCGTCTTCAGCTATGGGCACTGCCAGATTAAAGATATGGTGAGTCGTGGGTGGTCTCTTCCCACCAGGCCCACCTGCCATGAAGACAGGGATGACTGGCCCTATATAGCCTTCTAAATTATTTTATAAGCAGTACCCCTGATCTGTCATAGCTCAGCCCCAGGGTGGCAGAAAGAATGGTCCCAGTAAAAGGTTTTTCTTTGGTCCACAAGCACCAAGAATAGCAATCATGCGCTCTCCCCAGCCCTCATCTGGGAAAAGAGTGGGAACGTAGACAGAAAAGGCTGGGACCGACCCGGGCTATGACGCACTCCGGAAGCTGAGAGTCTTATTCTAGTCTTTGCTCAGTTCCTGCACTGAACCATGGGACGTTGGCCCGGAGTTGCTGGCTTATTCATAGGTTAAGTGTGAGACACTGTGTGAACTGAGGGTGAAAGATACTTAGTCAGAACAAGATCCTTCTCTCTGTCCAACCCTCTCCCCAACCAAGAACCCCCCGAAGCAACAACTGTAAAATGAAGCACCCATAGCCCGGAGTTGCTGGCTTATTCATAGGTTAAGTGTGAGACACTGTGTGAACTGAGGGTGAAACATACTTAGTCAGAACAAGATCCTTCTCTCTGTCCAACCCTCTCCCCAACCAAGAACCCCCCGAAGCAACAACTGTAAAATGAAGCACCCATAGCTCATTTCTTAGTTTTCAGCGAGGCTCACAAAACATGGCTTGGACGGAACACTTTGTGGCTGGTTTTAGTGTGGGGCCACCCTCCACCCCTCAGCATACGCTCACGGCTGTGCTTCTCGACTCCCAGGGCTGACAAGGTTGGGGTGGGAGGAAACCCTCATACAGGTAACTGGGCCTGGCTGACTGAAATGGCCCATCCTGCCTTGCTGGGGGCTAGTTTTTCACTCCAATCCAAACTAGATCTCGGCAGCCTGTAAATATCAAACAGAGAAAAGGAAGAAAGAGCTTCAGGCTGGGAGCAGATACTCAGATCCTCTCTACTCATACTGCCCATCTGAGTCATCTGAGTTACCCTGGGAACGGGGTCACAGCCGCCCCTCTGTCCCCGCCCCCCAGATCTTACTGCACAGCCCCATCCGCTCCTGCTGAGTTCCATGACGACGCTCCTGTCCCCTCGGCCTCCCCCTGCACCCCCGATCCTGCTCCCTCTGCCATGTGCTCCTGCCACTCACCCCCAGCCTTCACCCTGGAATCAAGGGACAAGAGTCAGTCATTTTTAAAGGCACCAAATGATGAGCAGTGAGCCAGGTTCCCAGCCTGGGCACTGACTCAAGACTTCACTTCCGTCATCTGCTAAGTGAGCAGGTTCAGCCCAGGTGCTCTGTGTGACCTCCCAGCTCTAAATGACCTTCACTTAGCTCCTTTAGAACCTGCCTCCTCGCACCTGCTGGGAAACGTGGGCAGTTCTCCAGGCTGAAAGGCTTGGGGGGTCGGGATGATTCATAAGGACAGGGCTTGGGCCAGAAGGCAGAATGGCGACTTACTGAGTCATCAACCACTTCCTCACATTCACTTTTCCCTCGCAGCCTGCCCGGCTCAGTCCCGCTCAGTGGACTTGTGGGGACACCCTGCGCACTCGGGTCGTCACCCGCTAGGGTGCCAGCGCTCCTTACTGTACACTTTCCCAGATGGCCCTGGCTCTGCCACCCTTCCTCCCCACGTCCCCCTTCCGCCTGGCCGTGTCGGCGCCATGACAGAAACAGCCGTCAGAGCCGCGGAGGTGGCATTCCCTCAGGACAAAGCAGCAAAGGCCCCATGCCACCAGCCAGGGCGCCGTCCATCGCCTTTCTGCAGAAGGGCTGAGTGGAGGCGGCTGAACTTTGCCCGGGTGAACCCAAGGGCACTACTTCCTTGAGCTGTTCCTTGTGGGGAAAACGCAACAGTCACAGAACACAGGCTCTCCTAGGAGGCCCCCACGTGTGAAGGCTGAGAGGCTTCTGCTTTCATGAGCTCTCTTTGATCTCAGTGAACACATTTCCCAGTCACGCAGCTGTCTTAGTGCAACTTAACATGCCGAGAGCTGGCGTCCCAAGCACGTACCTCCCAGGCCTCCAAGCAATAGTGTGAGTGCTACAAAAGGAGAGACGATGCCAACGGCCATCTCCCAGCCCCAGGTCCTTCCTGTCCACCTGTCCTCTATAGGCCTGTGCCCGCCATGAGGCACCACTAGAGCACCAGGGGGCAGTGAGGGGAACAAGCCAGGGCCGTGCAGGGCGGCTGGGGTCATGTCAGGAGGACAGGCTCAGGCGGGGGGCACCGGGGCACTTGTGCTGTCTGCTCACAGTGACCGCGGGCTGTGCGCCCTGCTGTTGTGTCCTGCAGGTGAAAGCTGGCCTGGGGGTCAATGTCATTGGCCTGGTGACAGTGATGGTGGCCATCAATACGTGGGGAATAAGCCTCTTCAACCTCAACACGTTTCCCGCCTGGGCCAAGGTCAGTAATATCACTGATCAGGCCTGACCCCTGTGGGCAAATGGCCTGACCCCAGGAGCGACCAGCACCCAGCAGGCTGAGAGGACCACCAGCAGCACAGGACCCCTTCAGAAGATTCCTCCGTCTTCCACCTCCACTGACGTGCGGAGAGGCTCCAAGCACAACGCACAGGCCTGGATGTGTGTCCTCCGCTCTGCCCTCCCTCCTCAGCGCAAGGAAACCTAAAACCCCTCTCCGTCCCTTGTAGCTTGTCTCTCCAACCAGCTCTTTCTGAATGAAAGCTGGCAAGAGACAAAAGTCTGTCTTCGTTGCCCCTCAGAGGCTAAGCCTCACAAACTGACCAGTCTCACTGGGTTTGATGTTATTCTTAAGTTCTCAGTCCCGTTTAGGAATAGGAGAAAACCCAAATCATCCTTCCAAGTGCAGAGAGTGAAACCAGTGTCATCTCCTCTTTGGGGGAAAGGTCTCACCCAGAACCTGAGACCTGACATCGGCTCCTTTCTCCCGGGTGTTTCTCGCCCAAGTTCTCTCCACAAAAGGGCAGTTCTTAGTGAGGCCTCTTTGTGGCAATCAGTACTCTTTTATCACTCCTCTTTTAAGCGCCTCTCTTCAATGGCTTCTCTATACCCTGGCACCAAATCCCTGCAAAGAAATAGTGTCCCCTTCAGAAAGAGGCTGGTGCTGTTCTGTCAAAGGAAAGGGCAGCAGAGAAAGAAGACACGTTGAGATCAGTCCCTTTCTCTCCACTCAGCACTAACCATCAATACCACCGTGCTGGTTAAGCATTGGGAGGAAGGAAAAACCTTCACAGTTCATACCTGTCTCACTAAGGAGGCGGAAACTGTGATTAAGACCACAGCACTATTGATGGTATGTTGATGGGCTTTCTCCAGGAGGTAATGAGTAGCTCATCCCTAAGAAGACAGGCACAGAAAAGTCCAAACACATCTGTCACTTTCTAAAAGCTGATGAGCCCCTGGAGGGGAGGGGAGATGTCTCATGTCCCTTAAAGTCTCCAGCAACTTATATGATACAGTAAACTGTGTGCGTGACTGCTCAATAAATGTCTTCCTTGAAATGACTCCACAAGTCCAGGCCTCCTCCTTCTTCCTGAACTGCACCCTTATCCCCATGATAGGACTGGATGTTGCTCCCAATCCCTTCAGCATGACACATGTCAGATTTCTACAATCAACTACTTGCTAAATACATCTTATGGGAAAAGGAGGAAACCACAGTTACAGCACTGCTTGAATTGATTTTAAGTTACTAATGATAGCAAGTGCAGGTGCCTCGTTAGCGCAGTAGGTAGCGCGTCAGTCTCATAATGATAGCAAGTGCAGTTTTCCAACAATGATTTACCAGTAAAGTCACTCTCTTAGTTTATCATGTATCTGTGAGTTACAAAGTTTCTTTTGTGCCAGTCAAAAACCTGCACCAAGTTTAACCAGGAATATTACTGCTGCTTCCAGTTAGCACAGGCCAAATTACCTGGCCACTTACAAAAGTGAATGAGTGTAAATTAGCCTCCAACTAATAAAAATAAATGAAGAAAAAAAAGTGAATGAGGCCAAATGAAATACCAATGTTAGGTACACTATGGCAGGTCTGAGGAAACAGCATCGCTACCAGTCATGTTGCTTTGAAATATTTCTGAGTCAGGATGTCAATCCTATTGTCAGGGTAGCCAAATGGTCGAGCGTCTGACCTGTTTCAGAATTTAAGACACCAAACCTTTAAGTAAGACAACAAGGCAATGCACAGATAATCAATAAGATGCTGGGAGTATAAACAAGCAAAAGGAGAAAGAAAAGGTGACAGATAATTGACTTCAGACTTTCCTGGTGGTCCAGTGGTTAAGAATCCGCCTGCCAATTCAGGGGACATGGATTCAATCCCTGGTCTGGGAAGACTCCCCATCCTACAGGGCAACTAGGCCCACAAGTCCTAGGCCCGTGCTCCATAACAAAAGAAGCCACTGCAATAAGAAGCTCTCACACAGCAACCAGAGAGACAGCCCACATGCAGCAACAAAGACCCAGTGCGGCCAAAAAAAAAAAAAATTCAGTTGACTTAGAATGATTGGCCCCTGTTCAGCTATTTGAGACCCTGACTTGCTCTGAAACAGAAAGCAGAGCAGCTCTGTGAAGCTGCTGCCACGTCCACCAAGCGGCTAACACTCTCGAGCAGTCAGTTCAGAAAGGGTGTTTATTTTGGTCTGGTCAGTAGACCGAACAGCACTGTTCTGTTCCCAGACCGGAGATTCAGTCCAAAGAGGCCTGCTCATTCCAGATATGACTAACGAGTGTCAGCTGTGAGTAACAACTCCTTGTCTCCTAAAGTCACTCTGCTGCTGGACAGGACCTAACAGCTCTACTTAGTAGTGCTGTCTTTCGCAAAGACATTAAATTTGATCCTTCTCATATCACAACTCTATATGGGTGGGAAAGCTGTAAATGATCACCTTACACCAGCTCATTTTATAGATGATGAAACTGAGAAACAAAAACACCAAGGAGAGTTGCATCTTATTCTCGATTATACATCAAATTTTGCTTAAAGTTGTCTCAGAAATTCCTTTAAGTCACCCATGAAGTACACAGTATACAATCTTTTATGTTAGAATTCACATGAAACAAAGATTCTTGTGCCATTAAGTAATAAATAGCTAGTTTTTCCCCCCTATTGTCAGAGTAGATCTCTTATTTAGCTGAACCCAAATAAAGTAGGTGGCTTCACATTTAGACACCTGTTTGAAAAGTGCATCTCAACACTAGGATCTCTCAGGAGAGCGAGATAACTGAACCACTGTGAGACAGGGAGCTGAGCGCGCCAAGGGCTCAGGCAGCTGTCCTGGGGCCGCCCTCCCTGCACAAATGCTGAGCATACCGCCTGCTCTATTTACAGGGTGCCTTCTGCTTGGCCCAGTCCGGTACAGCTGTACATGTATGGGCTGCATTTTTCACACTCGGGCGCAGGGCTCCGGTTTTGCAATGTCCCACCACACCCCAGGCACTTCCTACAAAACAAATGTTGGCTTGTTTCTCTCCCACGCCATCTTCAAGGTCTTCAGTGCTTGACTGCGTGGCACCCAGATTTAGGAAAGGTATAAATAGAACATGTGAAAATCCAAGTTTCACAGAGTCCCTATTAAGACCAGGCAACATCTCAAAGTATTTCCCCTTCACTGTCCTGCTCCTTTCCACGAGGCAAGGTGTTAATAGACAGTGGGGGAAAAAAGAACTCACTCATTTGAGTAAGGCTGGGAAATGCTACGTGCAAAGTTCAGGCCGGGGAGCTGAAGAAAAGTCTCCTTTGCTTCAGGACAGTATATAGCGTTCCTTCAGGAGGAGTAACAGAGAAAGCATTTAAAATGTGGGAGAGTTTAGCAGAAAAGCAAACACCAGCACAGTATCTAGGGAGTGAACCACTCAGTGGAAATGAAAACATTATGCATGCTGCACATGCTCCATGAACCCATAAAGTACAGACAACTGGAAAACCCACACATCCTAACTTTTCTCTAGAGTCACAAAAATGAACATTAAGTAAATGAGTTAGAAAGAAGAAAATAAAACTGTCCCTTTAAACCAAAAACTGCTTAATTTTCACTTAATTAACAGTAAATCAGAAGAGAGGTCTAAAGACATCAGCTGGTAACTTCAATTCATAAAATACAGTGCCAAGTAAGGTTCCTTAGTTTTTTATCTTTCTTTGGGTATTTGGTTTGGGAGGTTACAGTTTAAGGATAAGGTTTCTAGTTCAATGTACTTTTTAGGTTCCCAACATCAACCCTGAAGTCTTACTTTTCACACGTGAGTAACTTTAGTAGTATTTTATGTAACCCTCCTTTTAAGGTCGGGAGTAGCAGAAAGTCTCCTTAAATCACAACAGTGATTTTCAAACTTTTTGAAAAGAAAACAAGGCACGTCTCTCAGTGGTTCTTCCCATCCCTCCACTGCTTTGTGAGGCAAGAGTCTCAACAAAACACCCAGGGAATGTACCAGTCACTGCCCTCATTACCATCACATGCCCTAAAATCCATGGTGGTTCTGGGCTCCTCCAACACTGGATCTCAGTGAAGGCAACCCTGCCTGAGAACTCAAAGCTCCTTTTCACTCCTGCAAGGACCCAAAACTAGGAGAGGGGCTCTGAAGGGTGACCAGGAAGCCGGCCTGTGTTCACTGGGGAGCAGTTTACATGGTGAAGGTCATTTCCTGGGTGGCTCCCACTGGAAGTGATCCTCCTCATCGAGGTTAAGTGTCACTTCTGGTGGAAGCTCTAAGTCCAAATGAGTTTCAATTACAACATATAATCATAGAGACCTAATATTACAACACCTAAGTGACCCTCGCCCCCAGAGAAGCCAGTCTGGGAGAATACATCCACAAATAACAATGCTCCGTAGGTGATAAAAAAGAATCTGTCTCTGAAAACGGTTTTCTTAAGATTGTGGCATTTTGAATACTCTCAAGGATGGTAAACCTCTCTCCTTCAAGGTTGCAGTTCATTCTGTTAACAGTTCAGTCATTCAAGAGCAAACATTGTAAGCCAGGTGGTATGATCAACGTGGATACTATAGATTTTCATCAACAAAGCGAGTGACCAAAGAATAATAACAAATTTTGCACAGTTCATAGACTTTTGCTCCAAAAGTGAGTACAGGGGGAAAAAAAAGTATTCGGACCAAAAGCAACACGTTCGGACTAGTATCTACTATTTATTGGATAATCTGCAAAGCACTGTGCTACACATCACACACATCATTTCAGCTGTTTCTCATGGAAGCCCTCTGAGGTAGGTACAGAGAATACAACAGTTTCAGAAAAATAAGCTGCTTGCCCCTGATCACACTTCAAGGTAGAAGCCAGTCCATAATATGGTCTAATCTGTCTCACATACCAGTACAACTCGACAGGGACAAAACTCATCTCCATGTATGAAAGATCCATGTTTTTCAAGAGAATCACTTTATCATCACAGTATCAGTGGCATCACTGTCTGAATAAAAGGTCTCTAAGCCATTC